GCCAAAAGCTTTGGATATTCAGTAATCCAAAAAAGGAATAAATACACATGTAAATGAGGCTGACCAGGAACCTTGTAATGCAAGATGGGTTATGTGGCGAAGTTGCGGTATGGGAGAGGAAATATTCTTCTTGCAAGGATGAAATTTATCGTGACGTCTTATTTAGAATGTTTGTGGTTGTTGCTTCAGTATGAAGTTGACGGTGCAGGATGCATGGTTGATAACCAAATTGTCACTTGAGGTCAGGAATACTATACTGGGTTTTTTATCAAGCAGTTGTTGGGTGGAACCGCCGCCTACCCATTTTCTTGTCATTATTTACACCATTTTCTTGTTATTATTTATCTGGTTTAAATAATCGAATTTCCTCATTATTGATCGTGTTATAACAACATGAAGCCATGCGTGTGTCACAATTACTACATCAGTTCTAAAATATATAACATTTTGGTAGGCCAAATAAGCCTACCAAAACATCTTATATTTTGGAATGGAGGTAATATTTTTGAATGGTATGAGGATACCAAGATTTATCGAGTCTACCTAGTCAGTTGTTGTGATTAAAGAGAATATTACCGAAAAGGCTTTCGCCCCACTTATATATAAAGCAAACCACCAGAGCCACAAAGGTCCAACATAGGTTCACACCACACACGCACACCAAGTCCGCAAGCATACAAATAAAAGAGAAAAGAGGGGGCTTCTGCTAAGGGCAAAACTCAATAAGCCCTAAAATAAAACCTAAAAGGGCGGCAATACAAGCCACGAAGGCTAATCCGGCTCAGAGGATGGTGGAGGAAGCAGCGGCGCCAAGCAGAGAGCCATCGCGCGGAGATCTGCAATGATGATGTTCATGGCGTCACGATCCAGGGGGCAGCTAAGAGGCCGCCAAAGCTGCAAATACCCACACATTTTGAACACCGCATCAGCCGCACGTTGAAGGGGAACACGCTGAATCACAAGCTTGTTGCGAATGGTCCAAAGCGTCCAGGCGAGCACCCCAATTCCCAGCCACCTAATGTGGCAGACACGCTGAGGGGATGCCTGGACTTCCACAAAGAGGTCTGGGAAGTTCATGTGGCACCACCAGCCACCGAACGCTTCGCAAAAGCAACTCAAAGGAATTGCGCTGACACACACACACACACACGTGAATAAGATGTGGTTCGAGCCCTCCTCTGTCCCACATAGGGGGTAGAGTCCTTCACCGGGACCATTCCGCTTGAGCACCTCCACGCTGACGGCGCTCAGCCCCGAATCCACTGCTAGAGGAAAATCCTAATCTTCAGAGGGAGTCTAATCACCCAGATCTGAGCAAATGATGCGGGGGCAAGGACAGCCGCAATAGCCTGGTACAAGGATATGGTGGAGAAACGGCTCGAGGGCTCCCAGTAGACGTGATCCCTAAGGTGGTCAACATCCTGAGGCTACAACACGATGCACTCAAGAAGATCCTCCCACACACACCCAGTTCCGGAGGCCGAAATGGTCTGCTGAACGCGAGACGCCCTAAGTCAATAAGGGCTGTCTCGAAGGAGATCCTAGGTTTGACCATGATGGAGAACAGATCAGGAAATCAGGCGATGAAGGGGCGATCCCCAATTCACCTGTCAAACCAGAACAGGGTGGATGCACCAGATCCCACCGAGATAGGCGTCCCGATGTGAAGGACCGGGAGTAGCTGGACGACGGACTGCCAGAACTGCGACCCACCTGACCGTTGACAGAAGGCTAGTGGTTGTCCACAAAGATATTTGTTTTGGATGATGTCCAGCCAAAGGTCGCCCTCTCCATTCGCAATCCCCCACAGCCAACGTGTCAACAGGGTGATGTTCATGCATTTGGATGACATGATCCCAAGCCCGCTCTGTTCCCGCGGTTTGCAAATCTCCGGCTAGTGAACCATATGGTACTTTTGTTTGTCACCCTCCCCTGCCCAGAAAAATCTTGCCTGGTACTTTCCGATCTCATGGTGTAGAGTCTCATGGAGGCTATAGAGGCTCATGAGGAACAGAAGCAGGCTGGACAGAGAGGAATTGATGAGTACAACCCGTGCCGCTTTGGAGAGCCAACAACCCTGCCACGGTTCGATACTCCCTAGAAAAGAAGTTGTATAAATTTTGTGTAAAGTCAAACGGTTCAAAGTTGGACCACATTTATAGAAAAAACCACAATACCAAATGAATATTAAGACAAAAGGTGAAATACATTCATATTATATCTATTTAATATTGTAGTTATCGATGCTTTTCCCCCCTACAAACATGGTCAACCTGTGCATCCTTTGACTTCCCCAAAAATTTAGCGGCTTTCTTTTTATAGACGGAAGGAGTACTGTAGCATTATTTTTTCCACATTGTACTGCATGTCCATATGTATTCATCGATGCTGGTTTGTATTTGACCAACTGGATAGGATACAAGCACACGGAAGGGAATATCAACGGACGAATCTTTGAGAAAGGAGAAGATATTCTTCACGCACAAGCAGGAAAAGAGAAAGAAAAGAAAAGGTTGATAGATAGAGTGATGGGTGTGAAAGGGGGGAACAAGGAAAGGCAGGGGTTGCGTGTCGACCATGCGTGCGGCTGGGACGGCAGTCACTAATTACAGCAATTAAAAGCAAGGTAGTTTATACCCCATTTTGGTCCTTTTGGTTTGGGGCATCACATCCGATGGCCCTCTAGCTACATTTCCATCTCTCAGGCTGTCGTTCTCATCTTTGCTGTACCAAATTAGGAGCGCCAGAGTAGATCAGTTAGTTAATCCATAGATATGACACAGCTGGTACGTGGTTAGACGGTCGTTTTCATCTATAGCAGTTTGGTGTCTATTCTCAACAGATTAATCAGTAAATCCATGGATAGATTTAAGTTTTAGTTTTTTGTGTGGACAGGACAGGCTATGTATACTCGCAAAAAAAAAGGACAGGCTATGTATGACTGCTGCAGCCTGAGGTGGGGGTGGGGGCGGGGTTGGGCACCACGATCCATATCACCATCGACCCGTCCTAAAATATGTTGTGTACTCCGCCTCATGTAGTTGATAGCACGCATGTTTGTCCATAAAAAATGCAAGCCAGGCACATATATGTTGCATAGAGACTCTCGTTGACGACGTTAACAGTGAAAAGGGTGAGTATCGAGAACATGTGTGCAGTGTGCTGCATGTGTGGTGGCGCAGTGCAGTGGGGACAACATAGAGCAAGTAGGCCATCTTGGTTCCCCATCTTGGTAGTACGTGGCACGAAACAAAACCGAATCAAGGCGCACACGGTATGTCAAGCTGGCCTGAAGAGAATCCATTTTATCATACATTTATGCATGCATTTGTCATTCATCTACTAGCATATCTTCTTGGCAGGAGTAAATAGCATAAAACTACTACTTTACAGGCTAGGGTTTCAAAAAACTACCGGATTAATTTTTTTCGCTGATAACTACCAAGTCAGGGGTTGGCTGTTTCAAAAAACCCCAAATCCTCTTTGTTAAAAAATTAAACATGTTTATGACAGGTTGGGCCCGCCACTAAACGCACCGTTTGGTTGACCGTTTGTTTGACCGTTAACTGACATGTGGGGACCACATGCCAGTGTCTGAAAAAGCAATCGGGTCCCTGGAAATTTTCTAAAAAAGCAATCAGGTCTCTGGAAGTTTTCAAAAAGAGGCAATCAGGTCCTCCGACGCGCCCGCCATGGCCGCGATGCCACCTCCTCCGGGCCGACGCCGTGCACCGCCTGCGGCTGGCGAGCCGCGCCTGCAGTGGCCGGATCCATGCCGCCGCCACACCGCCCCTTGCTTGTGGCCGCCGCCACGCCGCCCCTCGCCTGTGGTCGCTGCCCCTCGCCTGTGGTAGCCGCCACGCTCTGCCTCGCCTGCGGCGACCCCCAGGTGGCTTCCCATGGCGGGCGGCAGCGCGGGACCCGAGCAGAGACCCATGGCTGGCGGCGCCCTTGGCGGCTCCCCATGGCGCGCGGCGGTGTGGCGACCTGAGGGGAGGGAGCGGGTCGCACGAGGTGGGCGCACAAGGGGAGGGAGCGGGTCGCCGGCGGGGTGGGCGCGCGAGGGGAGGAACGGGTCGCCGGCGGGGTGGGCGCGACAGGGGAGGGGAGAGGGTCGCCGGTGGACTGTGCAAGGGCAGGGGACATGGTCGCCGGTCAGGTTGAAGAGAAGACAGAGAGAGAGTACAGGAGGAAGAGGAGAGAAGGAAAGAGAAGAAGAAAAGAGAAGCTGACATGTGGGCCCCACATGTCAGTTAACGGTCAAACTAACGGTCAAACTAACGGTCAAACTAGAGCTTCGTTTAGGTGCGGGTCCGACCTGTCATAATCACGATCAATAGATAAGCACTCGACAATTTGGGCTTTTTGAAACAGCCGACCTCTGATTTGGTAGTTATCTGAGAAAAATTAAAAACCAGTAGTTTTTTGGAACCCTAGCCTGTAAAGTAGTAGTTTTATGCTATTTACTCTCTTGCCAGACCAGGCCACTGCCCACACTCAAGTAGGCTTGTGATGGAAAAGCCGTTAATTTGCGCAGGTACGTAGCTCAGTTGATCCATTCATCTCTGGCCTCAACATATATTAAGGAGAGACTCATCTATTAATCTACTGTATTATACTATACTACTCTAGTTAACTAGCTTCCCTTCCATCCATCGTCGAGCTACATCCTTGCTTACGTACTTTTGCAAGCAAGTAGGCTATGATTCGATACATATATATTCCCTCTGTCTGAAAATACTTGTCATCAAAATTGACAAAAAGGAATATATCTACAACTAAAATACATATAGATACATCCTCTTTTATTCATTTTGATGACAAGTATTTCGAGGGAGTACAAACACAGAGTACATAGTAGTAGTACTACTTTGTTAACGGGTAGTCTAGTGCTGAATAAGTCATCTAGCTAGCTAGCTAGCTAGCTTGGACAATCAATCCATTGCAAGTGGAACGAAGCTGCTGCTACAGTCGACCGTCGACGGCCCGCGATCATGGATTCATGGCGCAGGGGCGGAGCGGCACCTCTTCTGCCGCTGCTGCTTCTGCTGGAGGGTACTAGTAGTGCTGCCGCTGCTGCAGTCGGGGACGGGTGCCTGCGCCGCCTTCGCCAAACGATCCTGCATGCCAACATACAAACGGAGTAACATTTTCAGGTAGCTAGCAGGTACCCCTTCCGTCCCATAATAAACGGTTCAACATGACAAAGGAATAGTAAATTAGTAATGAAACTAGTGCTCCTAATTAGGCAGTAAATGGGAAAGAGAGAAGTAGCCATGTGTATATGACTATATGTACGTACGTTGATGAAGTCCTGCTCGCGCTGGATGAGCATCCTGTTCTCCCGGCGCAGCTGCGCCAGCTCCAGCTCCATCTCGTTGGTGCAGGCCTGTTTCCGCGCTCGCGACCGCGCCGCCGACTCCCGGTTCTTGATCATCCGGCGTTGCCGCCGGTCGCCGCCCGCCACTGGCTGCACAGCGGCTCTCTTGCTGGTGCCTCCGGACGCGGAGAAGCCAAAGTGACAGCCGGCTGGGTCGTCGCCGGAGCTGATGGCCGGGTTGGCAGCGCCGGTCCCGCCGGGGCAGGTGAACTCCAGGGTGAGCGCCGTGTGAGGCGGCGGCGTGCGGGGAGGCTGCGGAACGGCGCCGGCGAGGTAGTCCTGCGGGTGGGCGGCGCCGCGGTAGGGAGCGGCGGCCGGGGAGTGGAGGTGGTAGGACTGTAGCGCGAGCGGGGTGGAGCACAGCGACATGTCCTTCCACAGCTCCTCCATCGATGATCTTATCCAAGCTACCTAGTATGGGAGGGAGTACAGTAGATCTTCCTTGAGTTGAGTGGATGGAATGGATCGAAGCAAGTCAAATGTAGCTAGGCAGGAAGGCAATGCAAGCACAGAGTCATTTGGTCCACATATAGATGGTGCTCTCTCTTTATAGCCACGCTACTAGCTATATTATTGGCATGCACGTGAAGTTTGCGACCAAGAAAGGTGGGCAAGACAAGTGAACATGGTTTGGAAATTGGAGAGAGGATTTTCTACCATGCATGTGACCTTCCGTGCATGCATCAATTGCATTTTTTGTTGCTGTGTGAGACCGCTATGTTATCTATAGTGGTTTCTCTCTCACCTAACAACCATTTACATGTTGTTCTCTATCGACTAAGTTTCACTCATAGTTCACGATTTTGACAAAACGCTTGCCTATCTCTCCCCTGAATCTTTGGCGCAAAGCGAGGGGCGAGATAAAGGCTTTAGAGGCAAACAACCGTGGTAACATGCACAACACGAGTGTTGGAGGCAACAAGATTAATGATGGTCGGGGGGACCACAATCATCGCAACATGGATTTGGTTCTAGGAGTGAAAATTATCAAATGCAAAAGCGACAGAAAGCTAATCAAACTATGGCACCCGGGCAAACCAACAGGTACACCACCCGTAGGCAGCAGTCTGGGGGCGACAACCATGCTAGACCTCCGCGAGACCCGAGAAGAAGTGAAAACGAAAGCAAAAGTTCTTTCTACTCCCGAGCTCAAATGCGCTCTCGGGAGGAATAGTAAACTCAAAAAAATCTGACTTTTTGGCAAACTATGACAAATGTTTTGTATGCTTGAAATTTTTCATCATGAAACAACATTCGTGCAAGTCATGAAAAAAAAATCAACAATCCAAAATGCTTTAAAAACTAGCATTTTGTTACCATCAACTTTGTTTTTTACCACGACTTCCATGAATGTCCTTTCATGATAAATTTTATAAGCGCACATAATATTTGTCAAAGTTTACCACAAAAAAATCAGTTTTTTTAGTATTTTTAATTTTTACTGTTATTGGAGAGTATATGAGCTCGAAAGCAGATACTCCATGCCTGAATGAAGGCCGCTATCAAAGTCCTTTGGACACCAGAAGAAACAAAACAAATACATGTATCAGATCAAATACTTAGGTAGCCCAAATACATCTATAACTAAGTACCTTTTAAATACTTAGGTATCCTGTCAATGTTGTTAGATTATGCAATAGTGATTGGAACTGGCCTGAAAGAAGGGAAGAAAATTATGTGTGTGGAAAGGTAGAAATAGATCCTATGGAGGTAGATTAATTTTGATTACTTCTAGCTTAAGTAATGTTCCTCTTTATATGATATCTTTATTGGAATTATCTAAGGGGCCCAGCAAGACAATGAATTTTTATATGATAAGAATGCTTTGGCAAGAAGGGTATAATGTTAAAAAATATCATTTGGTGAAATGGGAAGATGTTTGTAGAACTAAAGAAATGGGTAGCCTAGGTGTGTTAGATCTTGACACCATGAACATTTGTTTTCTTTGAAAATGGATTCGGAAGTTAGAAAATAAGAAAGGGGTGTGGCAGGATTTAGTGAGAAGAAAATACTTAGATAAATGTACTCTAAAAGACTGTAAGAAAAGGAATCATACGTCTCATTTTTGGCAGGGTTTAATGAAGTTTAAATCCATTTTTCTGCAATTTAGAAGAAAGATAGTGGGGAATGGGGAGAGAACTTTGTTCTAGAGTGATGTGTGGATGGGTGACAAACCCTTCAGTGTACAATTCCCTAGACTATATCTTCTTACTTTCAAAACTAACTTTACTCTAGCTAAAGCTTTGTCCGATGACATGAGCCTAATTACATCTAAGAGAATTCTCTGAGGGGAAGCTGCAGACATGTGGTATGTGCTTAAAGATATTTGCAGTAGAGTAGTGTTAAATGACCAGAAGGATAGATATGTAGCATGGTTACTAGCCAAGGTGGGAAAGTTCTCTGTAAGGTCTTTATATTTAGCGTTAAAAACTGATCAAGTGGTATGGAGACACATGAAATTATGGTATGCCAAGATACCTTTGAATGTGAAAGTTTTTATGTGGATGGTATTTAGAAATAGCGGGCTGACTAGAGATAACTTGGGAAAAAGAAATTGGAATGGTAAGGGCAAGAGCTGTAGCTTTTGTGATCACCCTGAAACAGTGGAGCATTTATTTTGTGTCTGTGTGGTTGCTAAATTCATTTGGGGGTTTGTTAGGAGTGTCACGGGAATACACGATATACACTGCAAGATTGAGGATTTTAGCAGTTGGCTTGAGAGTTTTCCAAAAAAAAGTTAGACAGATTGTGGCAGTGGGGGTCACGTTAGTTTTCTAGTCTCTGTTGAAAGCTAGAAATGCTGCTACTTCTCGTCATGTTTACTCGCATGACCCTAGACTATTGAATGACGAATGTCTTATTGGGCTGGACTACAGAAGAAAAGAAGGACCACTGATGCAATGACCTGTGGCGGCACTGCTTGTTGGTGTCAAAGGAAGAGGTTGGGCACCAATGACAAAAAGACTGAAATAGTATGGTGCTGTAGGGCTTGATTTCTATAGGGCTCGATTTCTGTAATTATGAGTTCTGATTAGGTAGTGAGAAATACGTGCAAAACTTTGTACACAGGATGGAACCCTGCGTGGTTACCTACTGTTGCGTTTTATCAATTGATTTTTAGATGCCTATCCTTTCTTTTCGCTGGGTGCCATGGTAGGACATCTGGGGTACTGAGGACTCATGTTTTGAATTTGTTTATCGGTTTCTTTTCATCAATGAAATTAAATCGGGGGTGCGCCCCTCAATTTGAAAAAAAAACATGTATCAGTTCAATGTCAATCAAAGGCTTTTGGCATAGCCTAGCACGCCATCGCCAAGGTTAAGCCAAGGTCAACCTCCACAACAAGACCCAAGGAGAAACGAGAGATGAAAGGATGTCCCATTGAATAACAACCAACAATCGCAGTTATGACAATCGAAGTGAAAGTGTTGTGCAGACGATTTGCTCCTGCATGATTTGCGGCCGACGTGATTAGAAGCCACACAAATTAGAATGACGAGGTAATCCAATGTTGTAGATGAGTTGTCGGGTGTGGATCGTGCGTACATTCGTCGTGTGCATAGCAGTGCTCCAACCGAATCAGAATATCGAACCAATAGGTTGTGATACAGGAAACCATGCTTTGAAAACAAGGATTTTGGGCATCTTCAGCAGTCGAACACCAGCCACAACATCCGAACCGAAGGAAATAGCAGATGGTGCATCGTCTGGTGGTGGTAAGCATGTGGATATCAGTCAACCAAAAGCTTTGGAATATTCATCAATCCTAAAAAGGGATAAAAGATGGTGAAAACGAGGCGGATGGGAACCATGCGAAGAAAGTTGGGTTTTGTGGCGAAGTCTATGAAATGGGGGAGAAATATTCTGCTTACGAGGATGAAATTTATCATGGTATCTTATTCAGAATGTTTGTGATTGTTGCTTCGGCTCTGCCTTTCCGTGTTCATATGAAGTTGGTGGTGCAGGATGCATGGTTGATAACCAAACACTCACTTGAGGTCAGGAATACTCTACTGGGTTTTTTATCAAGTGGTTGCTAGGCGGAACCCTGGCCTTATCATCATTTTGTTTCTATTATTTATTTGTTTTAAATAGCTAAGTGTCCTTACCCCGCAAAAAAAAATAGTTAAGTGTCCTCTTTATTGATCCTTGTATAAACAACATGAAGCCATGCATGCGTGTGTCGAAGCTATTTTCGACTGATATGAGGATACCAAGATTTATCGAGTCTGCCGGGTCAGTTGTTGGGGATTGAAGAGTATTCAGATGCTATTGTAGTATTTTTTGCATTATTGTACTATAGTATGCATCTGGAACGACTGGGCAATATAAATGAAATTTCACAAATCGATCATATAGTTTCAAGATTTCATAAAAAAAATTAAAATATTCAATGGATATGATACAAGCAAGATGCCGAAGGGGATATCAACGGATGAATCGTTGAGAAAGGAGAAGAGATATTCTCCACGCACAAGCAGGAAAAGAGAAAGAAAAGAAAAGCTGGATAGATAGAGTGATGGGTGTGAAGAGGGGAACAAGGAAAGGTAGGGGTTGCGTGTCGACCATGCGTGCAACTGGGACGGCGCTCACTATTTTTTTAGGGTCGTTCACTAATTACAGCAATGAAAAACAAGGTGTTTTATGCTTCGTTTGGGTCCTTTTGGTTTTGCGCATCACATCCGATGGCCCCTATCTACATCTCAATCTGTCAGGTGGTCGTTTTCATCTCTGCTGGTACCAAATTAGGAACACCAGAGTAGATCAGTTAATTAATCCATGGATGTGATCCAGCTGGCACGTTGTTAGATTGTCGTTTACATCTATAGCACTTGCATGTCTATTCTCAACTGATTAATAAGTTGATCCATGGATATGATTTAGGTTTTGGTTTTTCTGTGTGGACAGAACAGGCGCCTATGCCCTGTTTTTCTGTGGGGCTGGATACCACGATCCATATCACCATCGACCCGTCCCAAAATATGTACTCCGCCTAAGTATTTAACAAAAAATTACCACATTACAGGTTTGTGTCCCACTAAACTACACTTTCAAAACGTCAATAAAAAACTAACACTTTAAGCTAATTCATTCCCAAAAACTACCTATTTCGGATAGACGGCACCGGCCAACTGCTTTGACTTCTCTCCATTCCTCGTTGAGTACAAGGGCCCTAGTCCACCGGATGGACGACACTGACAAACTGCTTAGACTTCTCCCAGTTCCTCGGCGAGTAGAAGGGCAGCTGCGTCCACCAGATGGACGTCACCGAGCGGGTCCCCGCGGCGGCGACACGGGGTCCGATGCACACATGTTGCTTGTTGAAATGCAAATGAGAAAGAGAGGAGGAGGGAGAAGAAGGTTGATGCTGACGTGTGGGCCCCACTTGTCATAATGGTCAATTGAATGATCAAAATAAACGAAGTTGACTTTCCAGCCACGTCAGCCTGGCGGGTGGGTCCCGCCTATCATAAATGCGTTTAAATCGTCTAAACCGGCAACTATCCACAAGTGATAATTTTTAGGAAGAAACAGCTTAAAGTGATAGTTTTTCACTTTTTTGTTGTCGTTTTGAAAGTGGCAGTTTTAGTGGGACACAAACCTCTAATTTGGTAGTGTTTTTGTTAGATACTCACTCCGCCTAATGTAGCTAGTAGATAACTCCTGTTGATAGCACACATGTATTTTTTGCGAATAAAATACTTTCATTACTTAAAAGGAGACCGCACAGTCAAGTTTTACAAATTTCAACCACCTCCTCTGGTGCACACAGTATACAAACAGCAGTTTTTGGGAGCGTACGACCCATCTGAGCAAGTACATGGCTCACTTTGTTCTGGTCACGTTTGATGGACGTGATTTTGTGCTGCCTGCTAGCCAGTAGACACCTGACTTCACTCACCATTGCTGCCATAGGTGATCTGTCCAGAGAGGAATCAGTAACCATATGCGCTGCAACAGCACAGTCCGTTTCCACGATGATACTTTCAGAACTCCGTTCGATAGCCAGGGAAACTCCTTCCGTGACCGCTGCACCTTCCGTGACCGCTGCAACTTCTGCTTCGAGACCACTTCTGCATCTCTAAATAAAACGACATGAGGTAAAGATAACTTCGAGCACACATGTTTGGCGTCAAAAATGCAAGCCAGGCACATATGCATAGATACTGTTGTTGACGACATTAACGTTGAAAAAAGGTGAGTATCTACATGTGTGCTGCATGTGTGGTGGTGCAGTGCATTGTGGACATACTATTATACATAGGGACACCATCGGACTCCACATCCACATCTTGCTGCTAGGACAATATGTGCAAAGCAAGTAGGTGATCTTGGTACGTCACACAATACAAAACCGAATCAATCTGCCCATGGTATATCTGTTGACCCACTAAGGAGGGAGACTCGAGAGCGGCTATTCTGCACCCACACTCACCTACACCTAAGTGTGAACGGTAAATTCCAAAAAAATAGTACGTGTTAATTGATGGATATGATCCTGCTTGCACGTTGTTAGAAGTTTTCATCTATAGCACTTAGGTGTCTATCCTCACTAGATTAATTAGTTAATCCATGGATATGATTCAGGTTTTAGTTTTCTTTGTGGACAGGACAGGCTATATATATGGCTGCTTCAGCCTAATCGTGGGCGGTGGGTTTGGGGTAACACGACCCATGTCGATTACACGCATTTCTTTTGCCGGAGAGTTGATGGTGACATATGTCACCTCGTCCCATCCCAAAAGTATGTACCCGTTGGTATGTCTCTTCCAAAATATATTGCCATTACCACCACCGTCCGGGTTTATTGATCACCTTCGTATTTTGTGTCAAATTTTGATCATAGATTTTCCTAACAAAATATTGCCTCTATGTCACAAACTTATATTGTTGGATTCATATTTGAAAGAGGTTATCCATGATAGTATTTTTA